GCTAAATTAAGTCAAAAAATACATTATTTTGGCACTTTTCGGGACGTTTTTTTGAAAAATTACCAAATTAGATTAAAATTAGTTTTACTTTAGCTTGTTTTGCTCGTTTTAAGTGATTTTTGAACCAGAGCCTCTTTTATTTAACAAAATATGCCAAAAAACTAGAAAAAGAAATGTAATTTGATGTTATTTTATTTGTTCAATTCGATTTGGCGCGTTTTGAACGATGAAAAACACAAAAAAATACCAAATCAAGTCATTATTTTTGTCTTTTTCACGTGGGTTAGCATGTTTTTCAAGACTTTGCTAAAAACAAGGCTAAAAATTACAGAATTAGAACAATAATAGTGTTTTTTTTTTACCTTTTTCAAGAGTTTAAAAATACATTTTTGAGCAGATTTGCAATTTTCGACAGTATTATAAAAATTTAAATCATAATCTTGTAAATTTTATTAGAAAATAGTTTCTTTGTTTTAATGAGACTTCATTGAACAGAATCAAAAAATCGCTAAATTTTTTAATATTTTTGCCTTTTTTGGAGAGTTTTCGTACAATTTTGAGCCAGCAAAGAACTATTTTGCAAAATTTCGTTAAACACAAACCGAAAATTTACCAAATCAGACCAAAACTAGTGTTAATTTTGATAGTCTTTAAGCAGGTTTTTACTTAGCAATCCAAACAAAAACTTACCAAAGTTTTGCTAAAACTGACTGAAAAATTACCAAATTAGATTGAAATTGATACTATTTTAGCTTTGTTTTAAAAATTATAAAATAAATCTAAATTGATGTTATTTCGTTTATTTAATTCGGTTAGCTCCTTTTGAATAAAATTTTGTCAAAAATGGTGTTGCTTCACCTTTTTCAAGCCCAAAAACACCAAACTAAGTCATTATTTTGCATTTTTCAAGTGTTTTAACACTTTTTTCAAATATTTTGCAATATTTTGTTAAGAACAAGGCAAAAAATACGGAATTTAAACAAAATTAGTGTAATTTTTGCCTTTGTCAAGTGTAATCACGTTTTTGAGCGATTTTCGATAGTATTAGAAAAATTTAAATTATAATCTTGTTAATTAGTTTTCTTTGTTTTTTTCTTTTATGGAATTTCACTCAACAGAATAAAAAAAATGGAAAATTTAGTCAAAAAATTCATTATTTTGGTCTTTTCGGAGCCTTTTGGTTTGTTTTTCATACAGAAATAGAACTAATTTGCGAAATTTCGTTGAAAACAAACCGAAAATTTACTAAATTAAACCAAAATTAGTGTTAATTTTGCATGTTGATAGTGTTTAAGCAAGTTTTTAAAATACTTAATAAATTAGATTGAAATTGATATTATTTTAGTTTTGTTTTAAAAATTACAAATCATATCTAAATTGATGTTATTTTGTTTGTTTCATTCGATTTAGCTCCTTTTAAGTAAAATTTTGTCAAAAAATGGTGTCGCTTTACCTTTTTCAAGTCTGAAATCATAGTTTTTTTGCGAGATTTTGCTAAAACAAGCCCAAAAAACACCAAAATAAGTCATTATTTTGCCTTTTTCAAGTGTTTTACCACTTTTTTCAAATATTTTGCAAAATTTTGTTAAGAACAAGGCAAAAAATACGGAATTAAAACAAAATTAGTGTTATTTTTGGCTTTTTCAAGTGTAAGCACGTTTTTTAGCGATTTTCGACAGTATTAGAAAAATTTATAATCTTGTTAATTAATTAAGAAATAGTTTTATTTGTTTTTTTATGAGATTTCACTCCTAACTGTGCTGTTTTTGAAATTTCACAAGTTAAAAACTTTTCTTGCATGTTAATTGAAGTCATTTCAAATGNTGTTTTTTTATGAGATTTCACTCCTAACTGTGCTGTTTTTGAAATTTCACAAGTTAAAAACTTTTCTTGCATGTTAATTGAAGTCATTTCAAATGTTRAGTCRCCTGAAAAATATTAATTTGGCTTGCATAGATTATTTTTAAAAATGTTTGTAGACTCTCAAAGCAAAYAAAATCGAAATTAAATTTACTTAAACTTTTATACTATTTCATTTTGTGGTCTGGAATAGAATTATAATTATTTTTTATTATACCTGCATCATAATCCTGAATTAAAACACGCTGCAGCGTGCGTAKTTTGGCCTTTATAGCACGCTGAYATTTTAAAGTTGTATAGGTAACAAGAAATAGTGAAATGTCTGGACCAATTACAACGTGAAACAATGTGCTTAACAACGTAAACTATTAACCGTCTCTACGAAAACGATTCACAAACAATCTTTGATYATTTTATTGTGTAAATTCACATTTTTTCAATGCTCATAAAAGATCGTAAATGGGCAGGTATAATAAAAAATAGCGTATAACACTCGTTTATAAACGCTTGCTTATAAACTAGTATTATAATATACTATTATTTGTTTTAATAAGACTTTTCTGGACACAATGAAAAAATCGCTAAATTTAATCAAAAAGTTCATTATTTTGGCTTTTTCGGAGAGTTTTCGTACGTTTTTGAGCCAAAAACAGAAATTTCGTTAAAAACAAACCGAAAATTTACCAAATTAGACCAAAAGTAGTGTTAATTTTACATTTTGATAGCACGTTTTTAAAATACTTACCAYAGTTTTGCTAAAACTCACTGAAAAATTACCAAATTGCATTGAAATTGATATTATTTTAGTTTTGTTTTAAAAATTAAAAWCTAAATTAATGTTATTTCGTTTGKTTCACCTTTTTCAAGTCTAAAATTACCGTTTTTTGCGAGATTTTGCTAAAATAAGCCCAAAAAGCAAGTTTTTTTAGCGATTTTCGACAGTATTAGAAAAAT